TCATTATTTCAGCAAATGTCTCCCACACTTTTACTCTTTCTATTTGTGTATTTGCCGAGCTTCCACTCCCCAGTCTTCACCTTTTCTCTTGCCGCCTCCATCTCTGCAGACTGTAGTGATCAGACATGGCCGGTTCGTGAACGAATCGTTCTTTTGAACCGTTTCTTTTAAGTGAACCGGTCGAACCTACACTAAATCGAACTGAATCGTTCGAAACAGTTCGCGTCTTGCGTCAGTGCTGATCCACAAGTTAGTTACTTACTTTCAGACATGCCTGACAGTCGCCTCCGAATCGAAATAAATCAATATCCTGAATTCTATTTTACTCCAGTAACTCCAACAGTTCACTGAACCGAGACATGTTGGTGCCACTGTTCAGAGAAGTGATGAGCACAAGCAGCTGATACTGCGCATAGAGACTGCGTACTACCGAACGCACAGGGACAGCGGTTCTCGAATCACTAGTATAGAACCGAGAACTGTTTAGACTGAGCTTGTGTGTTATCTTCGTGCCAGTTATTCAGCCAATAATGTGTAGGGCTGTATATTTCATCAAAAATTGTGTCTAGTACTAATACAAATGTTTAATTGACATCTTTTTTCAAACGACCCGACCGACCGCGACCCGAATATCATTAAAAACATTTTTGGATGACCCGTAACTGCGGGTAACCGCGGGTGACCGCAGGCACCCGCTCATTTCCCCCGCTCAACCCGCGCATCACTGATATGTACCACATCAGTGAAAAGTGAAAGCCCTAACCTGTTTACATGGTGCGTTAGGAGACTGCTGTGCGGCACTTTGCTCTGCTTCAAGTCGCTAACAGCCATTTGAGCTTCTACTGCTTCCGATAAACACCAACCTTCGTGCGCAGTGGCTGCACAAAATAGACATTTTGATAGACGGGCAAAAAATAATAAAAATATTAAGTATGTGTTTGTTGTACAGCCGCGGATCAGTTATTCACTGGAAACGCATCATATTATGTGAACGCACTAACAGCACGCTCCTGCACCGCAACACACACTGCAAAAGGGTGTGAAACGGACGTTAGATCCACCTACAGTTCTAAGAAACTTAGATGTGTTTATGAACTCTTTTTTTCGTACAACAGCAGCACTCATCTTGTTTGTTTATTAGTGGATGCGGATGACCAGTCGTAGACCGGAAACTGATACGCCGACTTCTGACAAAAGCGGACGTTCGAAACTACGGTTGTGCACATAGCCCATAGGAATGATAAATGCGTCAGTGTATAAAGTCATTTGCGCCGGGTGCAAGATAGAGCCCAATATATCTCGTCCACGCTGCTGGCCAATGGAGGTCGATGCCTGCACCTGGCGGCCATCTTGCCACAGGCAGCTCGATTGCTCGTAACATTGTGTTAATGGTACATGTACTATTTAAATAACCATAACTTGCTCGATTTTCTACCGATTTTCAAACGGTTTGGTTTGTTATAAACGTCAGAGATGTAGTTATGACACAGCATACTTATGAATAATAAGTGTATAAATAAATAATCATCCAGATAATTATTGCCACGTTAATAACGTTTGTAAGAAACCAAACCGTTTGTAAATCCGTCAAGATTTCAACAAGATAAGAGTATTTGTGTTCGTGCTGATCACGCATCTTACATCAGCTTGCCTGTGACAAGATGGCCGCCGGTGATGACGCTAGAAACTCCGCCTTAAGACATCTAGCCTTCAAATAGATATCTATGTCCAGTTCGACCTCGTCCATGAGTGTTAACTCAGACGTAAAAGCGAAAGGCGAAGCTTGAATTAACGGGTATGTCCCTCTTTGGCTAATGTACTTTCAAGATGGAGGGGCAACATGGCGACCGATATTAGAACCCCTTACCCGTATGCATTTTCAATGGCATATTATACACTCACGAGAATACTTTATTACTTGAACGAAGTAAATATACATTAATGAGCACATATATTTTTGAAAGAACTAAGTGTTTTTAGCTAAGAATAAACTAAAAGAGTTACACAGTGTAGCTTTAATGTTTCTCATCAGTGATTAAAGAGAATGAAGGAAAACACCAACCTATTTGTTCCTCTATATCTTCATCTTTTATTCTGCAGGGTTCTTCCTTAATCTCCATCTTTACAATAGTATGTCCGTAGTTTCTCCTGGAGTAATTCCTCCTGCTTGCTTCTTCTTCTCCTGTGGGAAGATGGGAATATTCCCCAGCATTTAAACTTATTCATGAACGGCTGTGGGAGCTTCACTGACTGAAGGAGTGAATTGTGGTTGTTATTGCTCATTTAGCAGATGATCACACTTCACACAGATCACACTTACAATCACTCGAGATTATTCAGGTGCAAATGTTTTGCTCAAATAGTCGTTTAGAAACAGTTCCATGATTACTAAATTTAATCCTTTGGGCTCAATATCAAGCCTCATTTTGACTTTGTTCCTCATGTTCCATGCATTGAATTTTTCATTTCATCTTTTTATTGTGTCTTGTTTTGTTTTGCCCCCTTTCTGTAAATATTGTATATACATAATTTTTCCTTTACTGAAGCGGTATCCCTTCTAACATCGTTTAAATAACATGGCCGAAAGGTTGCTTTAACCACGTTTGTGTGGTGAAGGTCGTTGCAGCGTCACAATGTTGATATTAAATTACTGTTCAGTGCCATTGCTTAAGGTTGTGCCTATCTTGTCAACCACTGGACGACATATGTACGTATTCTTCATCGAGCAAGGATATGTGAGTAGTAGCCTGTTGTGTTTAATCTATGCTTTTTATGTTTTATTTATTATGCTTAAAAGAAATTCTAAATTCGTTTATTTTTCACAACTGTATACATTTTGGAAGTGCAATTTGATTACCATATGCAGTTTTAATAAAGTTGAATTAACGTAATCTTCTGTCATTTTTACTCTACAAAGTGTACGCTTACAGATGTTGATTATAGGCTAATATACTGATAACCCCATTACACAATAATAAGGATAAACATTTTTAAAAAGTATATAATTATCAAACATCTGACTAAAAAAATAACCTTAAAAGATAAAATGTTTTGAAAATGCTTCATTTTTGTTTTTGGTTGAACCTGAAAGAAAAAAGAGAAAGAAAGTAACTGTAACACTATGTAGTTTTTCATCCTTCATAATATATTTCCAGGGGCCTATTTCATGAAGCCGGTTTAGGTGGCTATAGCCAGCTATGTTTCATTTTAGTTTGCGCCAACCCTGGGTTTTAGGCACCATGAAAGTGGTTTGGCTTTTAGCAGTGTTCATCGCCATAGTAACTTAAGCTCCACAGCTAACCTGGTCCGTGTCAGGTTATGTTCCAGGTAAGAGGTTACAAACAGAACTTGGACCAATCAGCTGTGAGCACAGTGACACATATCTGGCGCAATAAAGTCACTCCACCTGTTTCAACTCCAAATTAAAGGTCACTACGTAGCAAATTATTTTTAAAGACAAAATCATCTGGCTTTTAGTAATGCTTATTTAGAATAATACATTTGTATGATTTAGAAATTATTTATGTAATTATTATACCCAAACGATCTAACGTGCAATTTCAGTTCATCAATTATTAGTATGCAGATTTTAAAAGAATAAGTATATAAAGCTAATTAAAATACGCTTTAGAATCAATAAATGAAGCAATAAAATGACTACATGTGAGCTTAAATGCTCAATTCTCTCTATTCCTTTATCAACTGTATAAACTAACTTCACAACTTTTACTTGCACTAATATAGCAAGACCTTTTCTTTTAGTTGTCCTCTTTCATAGACAGCTAATTTCTTCTTGCTGTGTAAATTTGTTTAAATTCTTAATATTTTAATCATTTTATTTAATAAGTGAATTGTGCTGCTTCTCTCGCGAGAAATGAATTTTAATGAGTTTCACTATTTCTCAGCATTTGATTGGCTGTTTGTGACTGATGTCACACCTAAACTCCTAAACTCTAGATCAAAGCCTGAGTTGACAGAGAAAGTTGATTATCAGAAGCATGGTACCAACAAAGCCTGGTTGGATTGGTTTGGTTTTGTCAACTCAAAAACTAATCCTGCAACCCAGAGTTTATTCAACTACCATCATGGTATAGGCCCCAGGACCCTTGTGATGGTACATCGACTTACAATAGGTTAAATGAGACGTCTGCCATAGCCTGACGTGGTCTGTGTCGCTTTTACTTGCACTATGTAACTTCAGGTTTTGGGTAGTAACCGAAGCACATAAAGAACTACAAAATTCGACTGCTTTACGGCATACGTCACTTCCCCCACCACTTCCTCAAATTGTCTGTGGCCATTGTTGATTCCAAAGCCGATGCTGGATAAACGGCGAGCGTACATGTCTGACAGTTGATTATTTTACTAAATTATTTACTACAGCGGTAATGGACAATTCCGCATCGCACCTGTAGGGCGACCGCAGAGGAAAAGTAACTTTGTGTTGTTTTAAACATTTTATTTGTTACTTTTAAATCCTAAAATCTCTTTATATCTCTCACAATTTTATTAAATGTACTTGTACCATCAGATGAATGTTGAGAGAGTTTTTGCGAGTGAAACTCTTTCCACACTGAGAGCATGTGAATGGTTTTTCTCCAGTGTGAATCACCATGTGATTATTTAGGTGTCCTTTGCGAATGAATCCCTTTCCACACTGAGTGCATGTAAAAGGCCTTTCTCCAACGTGAATCATCATGTGTTTGTTCAGGGTTGATTTACATACAAAACTCTTTCCACACTCAGAACAGGTTAAAGATCCTTTGATTTTCCAGCTTGTTTCTGTGTGAAATTCTTTTCAGTTTTTGAAACGATTGCATAAAATAAACAAATTGAATTCCCATAATTTAATAAAAGGATAGCCGAGAAACAAAAAACAACATTGTTCAAAATCTCACTTTTCTACTAGTCTAGTATCAAGTTTTAGATGTTATTTTTATGTATTTTTTCATCTAAATGTTCCTCAGCAGTGATTAAAGAGAATGAAGGAAAACACCAACCTATTTGTTCCTCTGTATCTTCATCTTTTATTCTGCAGGGTTCTTCCTTAATCTCCATCTTTACAATAGTATGTCCGTAGTTTCTCCTGGAGTAATTCCTCCTGCTTGCTTCTTCTTCTCCTGTGGAATATTCCCCAGCATTTAAACTCTCATGAACGGCTGTGGGAGCTTCACTGACTGAAGGAGTGAATTGTGGTCGTTATTGCTCATTTAGCAGATGATCATCACACTTACAATCACTCGAGATTATTCAGGTGTAAATGTTTTGCTCAAATAGTCGTTTAGAAACAATTCCATGATTATGGAATTTACACTTTTGGCTCAATATCAAGCCTCATTTAGACTTTGTCCCTCATGTTCCATGCATTGTATTTTTCATTTCGTCTTTAATTGTGGCTTTCATTTTGCCTTCTTTCTGTAAATATTGTTTATACATAATTTTTCTTTTATTACTGAAGGGGTATCCCAGCAAACACGACCCTTAGTCGCTTCAATCAAATGACATTGCTAATGACACATCATATGTAAAATTGCCTTTAGACACTTGAACTTAGTTGCTTCATCAACAATTCAATGACACATTTGAGATCACGCCAACGCAAGATTAGCAACACATGAAATGTTCTACACTACCCACCACCATAAGTATGATATTAGTAGTATTGCGAAGGTTTTGAGTAATTGTTATAGCAGCATACAGCGCATCTTGTTTAAATTCCGATCGGCTCGAACAGAAACCCGCTAGGCATACTGAAATATAATCAAGCACTTCAAGAAATATATTTACTTTGACCCGTGATAGGCGATGCTAAACAGCTAACATTCCAATGCCGACCGGCAGCATTAGCAAGTTGTCAGACTGATAAAAAGCTATTTAAGTAACACGTCACGCGACTCACGCCATATAAGAGTATAATTAAATGTTTAACGTTACCTGCTCAACAAAAAGTCAGCAGTGTCAGCATCGGTATTCAGTCCCAGATCTCACTGAAGCTTTCTCCATCGGTCAATGGTGGACCCTATATTTATTCTCCTCAAATTTCGGCATTCTTCACATTTTCTTGTAGGAGTAAGCAGGGGACGCTTGCTGTTGTCTTTTTTGTTTTTATCTATTGCTGATATGCTACCATATGCGGTCAGCTGCTAACGCGCGCGATTCTCATGACGCAGAAGGGGGGCGCGGTCGGGTGTGGTGGGGTGGAGACGCAGCAGTTGACCAATGTAGCTTTGCGTCTGCAAATCTTTCATTGGTCAACTTTTATGCGGCTGTACAGCCAATAGAGTGAATGGATTTTTTTGTTCTTTTTTCTATTCATATTGTTAGGATTGTACTATATAACCATAACCAGCATATAAATGATGATATTAATAATGAACAATCTTTGAGATCGTATACCCTAGCTTTAAAAGGCACTTATTATGGAAAATTCACTTTTACATGGTGTTTGAACATAAACATGTGTTGGCAGTGTATGAGCAAAACCACCCTAGAATGATACAAATCCACCCAGTGTTTTTTTTTTACAATCTCAATAAATCATATGCACTGTTTCAGAACGAGCTGTTCTAAGATTCAGCGCTTTGTGACGTAGAATTGAGCAAAGGGTTTGATTGACAGTGTGGTTGTGGCGTAGACCCTGCCCTCGGTGATCCTCCATTGTTTCAACGACAGTCTGTCTCTTGGAAACATAAATGTTCTGTCGTGGGTTAATCCCGTTGTTGTGGCATAAAAGTTAATCCTCAAATGTGGATCGTCGTCTACTGTTTGTGATCCACCGACACCTCCAGTAACAGTAAGTGTATTTTATGAATTTTGAGCAAATAGTCTTTTCAGTCGATGTCAAATGCATCTAAAGTTGTTGTCTTAACAAAAAAACTCCAAAAACTCCAAAAAACAACAAGAAAAATCAGATTCATTAGCAGGGTGAAGGCTACAGTCCCGAGTTTACCTCTCATTTGTTACTGGGGCGATAGAGCGCGTTCATGACAAAACAATACAATACGCAGTGCAGCAGCCAGCAGACCTAGAGCATGCTATCTTGCATGCACATTGGCTGCCCTGCGGCAACGGCTGCTGCCTACCACTGAGCCTCGTATGTGACGTCATGCCCTCTACGCGTCACACCCCGCCAAAAGGGGGGTGGCTTAGCATATAAAAGTCAGGCTCGGGAGCTGCATCACTGGTTTCATCAGCTGAAGCGAAAACCGCTCTTGGTGCTTGCACGGTCGGGTTACGCAATACTCGTTCCCTCTTCTAGAGAGAACTGAGGTTGCGTATGTAACCGGGTACGTATGTAACCGAGTACGTAACATAAGTTGCTTACACTATGGGAACCCATTGCCAATGCCGTGCATGCCCAGCATCCACTTCATGAGTCCCAAGGATTCCCGGAGAACTTTGATAAGTCGGAAACGGGGCCAGCAATGCAGAGCGGCGTTGCCGGTCCATATTCACCATACGGTGCGGCTCAACCAGGAGAGCTAATATCAGTGTTTGGGGTTTTTAGCCCCCAACGGCGCCTTCTAGGCAGCGAGAAGATGGGTAGGTTTAGGGATGAGGTTATGGTTAGCTGCCTGGAAGGAGACATTGGGGGCTAAAAACACCATTGAGTGCTAAAATAATGTGAGAGTAGTCTGAAAATGATAAATCTGGGCAGGACATACACGCCTCTCATACTGAAAGAAGTTTAGCCTGCAAGGCGGGAACTTCCAGGTTATAAAAACCAAACAAAAGTGAACGGATGGGCTTAGCCTGCCGCCTCACAAATGAATTGAATGGAAATGAATGGAGACCCTTGGTGCACCCACCAAATGAAACAAACGCCTAAACGCCTGAAAGGGGCATAGCGCCTAATGTAAGCCCTCAGCGCCTTGATAGGGTAGAGGAGATTAAAATCGTCCTCACTATCGGATGCTGGCAGAGCCGAGAAAGAAATGGCCTGCACTCTAAGGGAGTGCCCATCACTTTAGGGACATAACCATGCCTTGGCTTGAGGATGACTTTGGAGTCCAGTGCCACTGCTAGCCATTTTGGTGTCCTAAGCATAATTCCTTTATGATGCCCCCTCCCCCCTTCCTCCTACCTAAAAAAACATTTTCATTTAGGATTTTTATTTAGGGGGTATGATTTATAATAAAAAAAAGTAAAAATTGAAAAATAACACTTTAGTTTATGGTCTAATGCTTACTATTAACTAGTTTCATTACCTGGTTGGTTTCATGGTTCTATAATCACTATAGTCCCGAATTTGAGGCAGGTTGGTTAGCGGGGTTCGGGGTTTCCCCGAGAAAATTTTGGATTTCTCTGAACTACAGATGTACATTTTAAGATGTTGTGAAGGCAAAAAAAAAAATAATGATAACAACAGCTTTAAAACCATGTCGGTGGGCAGCTGATTATTTTTCTCCCCTCATCAGCATCACACTCTTTTTCTCTTTGTTTTTATCTTGCCCTGTCTCTTCCCCTCCTAAAGTTGGCTTTTTTAATTTACTAAAGGCTACAATTTCGATTTTATTCTCAATATGTACACATTCATTATTAATCCTGTGCCTAACATGATGAAAACGGCTTTGTTCATGTTTCTTGTCCCCTCACAATGACAGTAGCTTAAACTATTACACTAGTCTACATGTTACATAGGCCTATTTTCAGTTCAAAATGGCGATATTAACTATATTAGTTTGCCTGATTATTTTGTCATTCGTTTAACATTTATGGCCTAAAAAAACAGTCCAATATATAAAGTTAAGTTTAGCTACTTACATCTTATCTTGCACTTGACCGTACAGTGAGGCGTCGAGTTGCACTGTTAAAATTCGCGCTCAGCGTCTGTGAACATAAAGCCCGCCTACTTTGATTTGATTGGTCATCTCAAATATTCTGACATTGACGAGCGGTGACAGACCAATGAGGCTCAGAACACACACACACATACACACACACACACACACACAGATGACAGGTCCTCTGTTTCTGACGTGCTCTCTGCTCGGCGCCGCTGCAGATTGAAGATGAAGAACGCGCTGAATCTGATTATAACAAGAAGTTTGATGATTGATTTTTCATTAGGATATTTTTGTTGCCCCCTCAGCACTTGGTGCCCTACGCACAGTGCGTGATGCGCGTGGTGGGAGTGGCGGCACTGTTGGAGTTATTTGGCCCAAACTCAAGAAACGCTTTCAGGAGCTCTAGGACCAATGAAAGATCCCACATGGGAACTCAACTGACTGACTGACCGTACGTTGACTCAGTGAACGCTGCAACGGCCGCCACATATCATTTTAAGCGTGGATGGGGACCTGCCCTTATCCAGCAGCTCTTAAAGGAAGCCAAACAACCACAGGACCCCACATATTCGTTGGTCTAGATCTCTATCTCTATCTAGAACTCATTTGGAGAACACAGACCATTTATTGGGCATGGATTCATCACTCCTTCTGGCAGGACAATAGGCCTCTATCACAGTGCTCGTGTCGTCACTTTCAGTGGCGCATAGTAGTGTAAAGTGACTTCCGGTTTAGTCTGTTGCAATGGCGGCGAGCACAGCGAGGAATTGCTGTTGCGTTCCTAAATGTTCTAATAGTTCTACTAAACAGCCGTATCTGTTTCCATTCTTTTCCAACTGACGAAAAAGCGAAGAAATTGTGGATTCATGCTATTCGGCGGGATGAAGGCAAAAGTTTTCAGTTTTAAAAGGGAGTACGTACGTATGTGGGAAACACTTCACAGAATCTGACTACTCGTCAACAGCCGATCGTAAACGCTTGAAACGTGAAGTTATACCATCCAGGTTCGAATGGAACAACTGGGGGAGTGTTCTCCAGAAACGATCCAATGTGTTAGATAAGGTAAAGTTAAAGCTTCAACATTGCAGTGAACCAGAGATCAGTGACGAACAGCCTGTAGTCTCTTATGGTCCCGTCGCACCCACAGACCATGACTACTCAACACCTGCGTGTCCAGGTCTTTTGGATGCTGCAGCAGAGAGAATTAGAGAGTTGGAGGCTGAAGTGCGAGCTTTGACTGTCTCTCGCATTCAAATAAACAGATTTTGTCTCTCGGATGACGACTTCCGATTTTACACGCGATTACCCTCAGAGAAGACTTTCAGGATTTTCTG